AGCTGACTGTGAGTCCAGAAATGACATGGTCTAATTTTGAATTCGCTTTGCTATTTCGTATATTCTGTAGAAAAACTTTCACTGAACCATGAAGGCTCTGTGGTTTGTACAGTTCGTGAGTAATCTTATTATCCAACAGAATCCTGTATTCGAATTCAGAACCACTAAAATAAAGTAAAGTAGATTAGAGTGAGTACAACAGTGACAATCGTGTTTGATTTGGTTATTGGACACGCGGCTGTCAGTACATGTTGGATTCAGTGCATCAATATTGCAGGATTTCTTGCCAAATAAACTGTTCACATTGTTTATTGTAATCGGTTGAACGTGTTCTGCACATAATACAAAACGAAATAACTAGCGAATAGAGGGATCTTGGAGTTTGAATAACGAACGCAAAATCCACGAACAGCTTGCGGTTTACAACTGCATTGTATTTCCTTTTGTAGGATTACATGATGTAAGGAGTTAGATAGACCTGTCAAATGGACACCTAAACAAGAACTTATTTAATACAGCATATGTTCCTATCTGTTATACGATTTATTTGAAATAAAGATTTCTGACTTCGACGGGACCGAATGTTTACGTAACAATAATATGTCGCACATATGTTTGCCTGTCTCTGATTTCTCTTTAATATAATATAATACAATCGGGTGAACGCGGTGCTTTTCAGCGCTCCCCGATTTTCTGCCTGTTTGCGTTCGTTGTGCGCCCGTGTTTCTACACAGTTGTATATATAGTGTGTCTACCTTTTACGTGAGTAATTTATAGTTGTTGTTTTTGTTATTATTGTGGTTTTTGGAGTGTTTTTGCCATTGCCTTGGCAAGGTGGTCGGCAACCAAGATGGCTGCCACTCACACAAGGCCACCGTCAACACCAACAGAACACCTCACTAGAAATTATGCGGTACGGTGTGAAAACATTGATGGCATTCCTGTTGAAACTTATGTGGAGTCGGTTGCAGATTTAGTCGGGGCCAGTAATATTGTGGCTGCATCCCGTATGAACCGATCGGTTATTGTCTTTCTAAATAAGGTTACAGGGGTCGACATGGTTTCTGCCGCTGGCCTTGACATTGGAGACCTCCATGTTTCTGTTGAACCTCTTGTCCGCCCCTCTACAAAAATTGTGCTATCAAATGTTCCCCCTTTTTTACCTGACAATTTTATTGCAAAAGACCAGCACTGAAACATGTAAAGTCTTTTCGCCGCCAAGTTTATGTATATTTAAAAGATCTCAATGTCAACGGTTTATTACCTATTACTTTTCAAGGTCAGACATAC